ACCCCGTTACAACCTCTTCAGTCAAACCATCAACGTGGAACTTGACGAGTTGACCCATGGTGAAGTGAGACAAGTTATTGAGTTGTTTCACTATAATCAAGGACATTTTTTGAGTTCAGATAGGGTAAAAGGCTACTGATGTGATAAAAGTAGAAGTAGTAGCATTACCATGTTTGCAAATCCATCGACATTCGTTGAGATAACGTTCAGTTCTAGCAACAGCATGTCTGACGTATTGTTCTTCGGCTGAGAAATAAGTGTCAGTCATTCGAAGTGAAAGAAGAAAACGGGAGCCATTCATTTCGACCATTTTGGCTTCCACACTGGTTCCGGGAGGAAGAAGAGATGACCAATCTGTTCCCGGGGGTGCTCTTCGATCGCAGAGGTAACGGGTAGGAACTAAGCCACGAAATCCTCCAGGAAATTCTACGAACGTCCCGTAATCCATATGATGCGCTACCCAACCAACCCACTGAGTTCCAACCTGAAAGGAAATAACCATTGCGCAAATTATGGCCAGCTAACGATATTTTCCATTTTCCTCATTAATGACCTTATGGACTTAAACATTTCATTCAAGGTTTATTTCCATGGAGGGAGATTTTTGAGATCAAAGATAATTGGATTCCGTATGTACTTAACAACCACAGCGATTAACTACTGAATAACATATAAAAAACATCAGGAGTAAAGTTATCAACATATGACCTGAATAGAAAAATGATATACGAGATCAGCTTCACAAAAAACTGCTCCACTCAACTGCTCCTCATTTCGATCAGAGTAACAAGAGTGTTCGATCACCAACATCACAGGATGTACGACGACTAGCATCCGCTTCGCTACCTCGGACGTGTACATCGACTACTGCACATCTTTCTTTTGTTAGCAAATTGACTTTCGGACTGTTGTCATCCAATGTCTCATAGTCTATACGCTTATTTTTATATTTCGAAAAAAATAAGACAAGAGATTTGATGTTTCAAACTCGATTTGATTGTTGTTCCACAGTTGTGAGCAAATTTACCTAGGGTCTCTAAACTTAGGACTAAGTTATTCATACATTCGCTGGTATGTCCAAGGAATGCTTAACGAATACGCAAATTCTCCACTCACCTGGAGTTGTTCAACGCTGCGAAGGAATCCAGCACCAGGAGATTCGTTAGAAGTTTGAGCAGCCTCAAGAAGAGAAGGTTTTGCTGACACAACCACTCCCTCCCTGCCACTTGTAGAAACAACTACAACACGAGCGGGCGTATTTCCATCTTCAGTTAGTGATAGGATAGAATTGAGCCGGAAACAGGTATCTCGATAGAGTTGTGCCAAATTGGCTATTGAGATACTGTCGGAGAGATGAGTGTAGGGAAGAAACGCGGATGTTAAGACTTCCTCGGACTCTGCTGACCTGAGAAGGGTCACTTGTAAGCCCAGTACTTTGATCTCCACAATACGACAAAAATAGAGTTCACCTAATTCCACGGCAAAAGTGTTTGGTTTGGAGAGAGGCCGCGCGTTCTCGGGATCAAGCTAAAAAAATAGCGGTTACAATATTCTCTTGAATGGGGGTGTGCGATAGACTTACCTCCACGTGGTGCACCCTGGGCAATGTATACTCATACGGCAAAAAAGTCTATTATTCGGCAATTGACTTCTGACTTCAAACTACCAAGACCCCACTGCATTTCATATTCGAATAATTTCACAGTACTCACCTCACCTTTTTCTACCTTTGTCTGTCTGTCTCTTTTACGTCTGTGAATCATTATTCTGTCCCCCTCTCGACGTTTTGCCACTTTACTGTTTATCTTCCTTTCTGTGAAGCCTGAAGTCAACTAAAGGGTTAATGATACCTATCATAACCCCTGCCATTTGAAATAAATAAATAAATATTCTCTTGAAAGCCATTCCATACCCTTCCAAGTTTTATCTCATATCTGATCTAAATCAAAACACCCCCCCCGGCCTGTTTTAATATCTTTATATCGATGTAAACTTTAGTGCTTTATATACCCAATTAAAACGGGGATGGCTAAACTCTGGACAGATCTCTCAGTGGTGTTTATGGTTAGCGGAGTAGATTCTGCCTTCACTAATCAAGGGTATGGCGAAAATTGCCGAAGTTGGAAGATTTAAGCGTGTTTCGCAATAATCTGTTTTACAACCTGCAAATCGTGGCGATTTACCTACAACTAATCGTATAGCAAATCTGCCCCTTTCAGTGCACGTAGTCACTAATACTAAAATTGGTAGAATCCGTGGAACCAATTCACGTCAACTGTCCAGTTGGGCAGCCTCTAGAAGCCAAAAACTTTCGAAGGACCCTTGCAATACAGCCGATAAATAGGAAGACATAGGCGGTCAGAACTTGCAATAAATACGGTAAATTTCGAATACTATGCTTTTGACTTAAGACACGTTTGGCGATTATAATTAGGCAATATTTTAAAAACTAGTTTTATCAAGAGTAATAGTAATATCAAGGTGATGGCATCAAGTAATTCTGCCTTATTGAACGAACTCCTCACAATATGGAATGATAACAAATCATATTTTGGGAGAAAAGTAAACAATAGGTGATCCGGTACGGTATTTATAACGAAGTAATATAACACGTCTACACAGATATGGATAAATAAGTTCATTGGCATGGCACTTGACTAATACTTTGTAGATATAACAATTTATAGATGAAAACACACTTTTGGACATTTTTTAAAGGATTAAAACTTACAATTTGTGAGAGAAGAAACTGAGTCGAAGGTTTTTTCCCTCTTTGCGGGGAAACTTGAAGGCGTTTTAGAACTCTCAATTGAAGAGTTTCGCCTTTGGTATAGGAGGCGGCTTCAGGCGTTGACATCTCATTCACGAGAGTTTGAGATCGAGGAATCCAAGCACGCACGTTGTTCATGCCACAAACCAGCACTCCCTTTTCACTGGATTGAATGACATAAGCGGTGACGAAGGAAGATTCCGGTGGTGATTGTCGATTTGCCTTATTTTTAGCTACCGTCTTTTCCCATGACTGTAGCATGTTAGCACTGCCGAGGATGGGGAAACTAGACGACAACAGACTTTTCTTTGCAGTCAACTGGAGCTCTCCTTTTTCGTGATTTATTCCCAAAACCTGAAGGTCAAATAGGAGTAGATAAACAAAGACACATTATAAAGAAAGTTTAGATTCCACATTGCTCACCATCGCCTTAATCTTGCTCTTAATTTTAAAGCGCTCTTGGGGGTTTTTGATGGGGACGTCAGAAAGATGCATATAGGGAATAACACCACGTATAGTTCCACCCAAACGAACTGAAACTCCACGAGGAAGGAATTTCTTCACGGATACAGAAATCTTTGACCCGACTTTAACGTCCTCAAGAGTGAGGAATGGGGATTCAAGAACATTCCTATTAAAAGGGGGGTTTGACAAAATTTAGCAGCTCACTTTCTAATAGAAACCATAGGGGAATTAAGGAAAAGATCAAAATCAATAATACGACATTTGGTGGCGGTATTTTCAGGAAAGTGGGAAGTCCATTTCTTGGGAGCGTCTTTTCCATAAGCGTTTGCTTTCTATCGAAGGAAAGATTACAAAATTAAATCATACCAGCAAGACACCACATCTCTGAAAAGACGGTAACCAAAGATAAACACAATTCCGTTCACGGCGTTTGAGTACGGCGTTTTCAACAAAAGCACCAACTTTAACGTGCTTATAAGCCATAAGGCCTTCTGATTCTTTAAGATCATCCTTAACAAAGTGGGGAAGAAGACTAGCCGTAATAGATTTGGTAGCCAAATCAATATCAACAATGCAAGCATTAAGTTGATTCCGAGGTGAATATTTTGTAACTTCTTGGGGACAGTGCTGGGCTGGAATGTGGACGAGGAAAGAGCTAAAAGTACAATCGAGACCCTCTAAACTAGATGATGTAACCTTGACTGGGATACGCATTCCAGGAAGAAGACTATCGAAAGGAATTTCATTCGAATCTGGGACACTCTGCCTTCTGAGCATAGAACACCGAAGCACACGAGATTTCGTAGTCGCGAACTGATCATCCAGGATTGCGAGTTCAACCAGGCAACCAATGGAATATTTTTTGCCGACTATGGGAAAAAATTAATTAAATAAATGTATTTACCAGGAAGAGGTGTTTCCTCATAAGGCAAGAAGACATCTAGACCACTGATCCCTGTATCAATAATATATCCGTTATCCTCAACACTCTTCACACCTCCAACGAAGGTGACATAAGGTTTCAGAAGAGATTTCTTAAGATTTCGATTAACTCGAGAAGGATTAAGTGACAGTCCAACCGGTTTTGATTTAGACTTCATTGCGACATCAGAAATAATTTCACCAGGTTGAGGCGAACATCTTACAATTTGGCCAACCTCAAACATTTCATTCATCAATTTAACATTTGCTTCTGAATGTCCATTTAGTAACTGTTCGAGGGCATCGCGATAAGGTAAATTTATGTCAGTGATTTGAACACGGCCTTTAACGCCATGAAGCAGTGATATATTGAGATGATATGATTCAATATTTTTAATCCGACCTAGACACAACCGCTCTGACATTTTGCAGGACGTGATAATCTGCACGCCAAAATAGCTCGAAATGACCAGGTCATGCGAATGACCTCAAGAAATATAGTCTAGAAAACAGTAAAATAAATAAACAGTACATTTTAAATAATCCATAATCTAAATTTATTAGAAATTGCAAAAAATTGTTATCTATATTTCTTTTTAACATAATGTGTATTTACTTAAGTTTTGTTTAAATAATATTATTTAGTAATTAGTTGCATTTTATTAATATGTAAATTTTATTAAACATGATACATAGCTATTCTGTTTAGTTAAATTTTAATTTTTAAAAACTGTAAATGCGCATGTATAAAGAAAGAAATTTATATAAATGATTCAGAATAATCCATATTAGCTTATTTGGTAATTTACTTATTAATTATCGTACCTCTATCTCTCCAATTAATCAACCAGCATTTGTAGGAATCTCTGTTGTGATATTTTCACTTCGGCACAGACAAAATTTTAGCAGTGGTTATCATAACGATATAAATTTAATTTTTAAATCCATTACAAAACGTTTGAATATCCATGTTGTATTATAAAAGCGATAGAGCTTTGAAAAATTCGTACTTTGCAGGCCTTTCTATCATTTATCTTTTAGAGCTAGTTGTAATAACTCCATCTTAAGGGCAATAATTGGAGCCTCCAATTAAACACAATATTTTTTGGCATTACAGTACCAATACGTAGGAAATTGACGAAAACAAATTAATGCAAAGAATATTCTCTAAATTTTATTTATTCTTTACAATAGCTCTTTTCCTGAAACCGAAATACTTAATAATTTATTCTGGCTTACAATTAACCTAATTTCAATGAATATCTATGCATTGAAGATTTAAACTATTTCTTACTGCCTCAAATATTTAAATTTTCTTTACTATGATTTTTGCTGATTCACTTGGCTTAAAGTGTCACATTTTTAGTACACGCATTGACCATATCGTACACACTATTGGTTCACGTGAAGAAGCTGAATTTGGTCGGAGGTTAACCCCTATATAATGCTTTTCTTCCATCTGTTACATTTTCATTGGCCCACTTATTTGATCGCAGCTGGTGATTGGAACCCTCAAATGGGGTAGACCGTCTATTGAACAGTGGCGTTTTACATAGCGGCCTTAAAGTACTTTCATCAAGTTGCCTGTCCCAAGTAATTCTGCAGGAAATCCAGTTAATAAAAGCAGCGATTGCCTCACAAAATTACATCCTATCTTAAAAACTGTTTGAACAGTTCTCTTGGAATCTAGGTCTCGCACGAGACGTTAAAATTTACATTTCCTCGTTATTTGTAAGGCTAATCAAAAAGCATTCTCACCAATTAAGTAAAATTTGACTGGATATCTTCCTCACAAATTAGATTTACCAAAAACTATATTGAAGCAACAAGCGGTAGTATAACAGAATAAGTTAGTTCAGTTTTATGTCATATTTTATGTCAGGCTGTTTACAAATAATATTAAATTTAGACAATGGCATTTTAGTCATTAAATATGTTTACATATATAAATAACTTTCACATTTCTAAAATTAAATCTCAAAGGATTTTCATTTCCTTCGATTTCCAAACTTTGTAATTTTTCCTCGTGCCATTTTAGTAACTTTGGTAATGAAAAGTGGTGCCGAACTATTTTTGAGAACATACTTCTTTCCATAGTAGTATTTCTCTAGTTTATTAAAGAGAGTCGTTTAAGTTACAAAAAATTAAATAGCATGTAGTTTCGATTGCCCCCACCCCGACCACCAAAAATTAAAGAAATCATTGATCTTCACGATTGAATTGCTATTTAACGTGTAATATTCGTTTAAATTCATTAATGACTCATTCAAGAGCACTTTAGTAACGAACAATGCCAAGTATAGTAAGAAAAATTATATTATCTAAGTATAATTATATTCCTATGTACATTGATCTTCCAGATTTGACGCAAGATAGTGTCTAATTTAGATAAATAATTTCAAATTAATATCGATCATTCGAGTCAAGCAGACCCTTAAGGAATGATTTTTAACGCTTGGCGTCTTCAAATTCAGACATTTACATTGAAACAAATATAAGGCCTTTTGTCCCTCTGGTTTTTTATGTTTTTTTACATATAATTCACTTAGTTTTTTTCCAGAGGATTCTAGATTTTAAATGCAATTTGAACTGCCTTGTATTACCGATTTTATAAAAGGCATTTATTAGCTAATTTAGCAGACCATTAAAAATTGAACAATTGCTCAAATAAAATTCATTTAGATGCCTACTTTTTAATAAATGAAATGAAGAATTCTTCTTCAGAATTAATTAAACCATTAAACCTTCTTTTGAGCAATCTATGAAAAATACAATTTTTTTCAAATCATATTTAGGATTTTTTCAATTGGCAAATTTTTTTGTCGTTGCATATTTTGTCCCATACCTGTCAAACTCGAAAAGATGTATGAAGGAGGGTATCTTCATTTAATCTCTTTCAGGTTTCTTGCAAGGATATTGTAATTTGGAGTTAAATAACATAAATACGTGAATGGGTTAAGAGTAATGTAATAAGCAAGCACGTTAGTATGTTTTCACGAAAAGATTAATGTCTCGGGAGGAACCATTTAATTGCTAAAAGAGTGGGAGTGTCATAAACACACCCGTTTCAAATGCTTATCAATTGCGTATTTTGTATTTTAAGTTTAAATCAATGTTTGAAGCGGACTTATGCACAAACTGAATTGAAATCATATGAAAACTGTTTGTTTCAATAACCAAAAGTTATCCGAATATGAAATTTAGCTAAATGTCTACCAGTGCTATTCACTGACCCAATTGATTCTCCCCCACCACCCTGTTTGAACTTTTATGTTTACAGAACATTTTAGCTAAGTTCGTCGATCTAGAAGTCATTAACACGTCATGTTTCCTCTTCATTAAAACAGAGATAACGTTTTATTGTTGTACAGGTCGAATTTAATCAATTCCTCATTTTCAGTTACTATTTACTATATCTAAGGGTAATGGAAAAAGGGAAGTCCATGTTCAATGATATACACACTTGTATTACGTCTTTAAAATGAAGACAATTTCATTCATTTCTTGAGGTGCTGTGTTCCTTGAGTAGAATTTATGCATGCGTGGGTAACAAAAGAAATGTCTGAAGTGTTTGGTTCTATCAAGATCATCCAAGTTACCTAGCTCATATTATCAATAATCAGGAAAGTGTGGCAAGGTTATCGTTCACGCGGCGACAAAAGGCTGTGGTATGATTAATAAGAACTTAAATTTGCACCAAGTTACTTCGATACGTCTAATGTAGTTTGTCCAGTTTCGAGACCCATTGGCGCATAAGATAGCTAAGGTTAAGTCAAGGCTATTTTACGTTCTGTCCTCTACAAACATGTCCTCATATGTTGTTTAAATTTATTTACTTTTCTTTAAAGCATTTATAAAAAAGGTTTAATTGCATGTTTAACCTCTTTTGAGGTTCGGTTTGCCAACGCGCGTCTCTGTATGCTTTATTATCCACCGCAAAACATAATTTAAAATGTGGCCCTGAATGCGAAAAGAATGTTTTAGTGATTTAGATGCATTTCATTTTTTGTTTGAAGTGACGAAGACACCTTAATAATATTGGCAAAACCCGTTGTACTAGCATTAATTTAAAGGTAATTTTTCTGAAAGGCATCGGATATTCTACTCCGGATCGAACTTTTTTAGACATTTGAATCCAAGCCTTTATTGACCACAGATTATGAGTTAGGGAGGGAACACCTATTGAAACTCCTTTCAGTAGCTTAAATGAAATAAATAGCTACGTAGACGGTGAGTGAATATGAAACTGCTATTACCGGAGTTTTGCTTCCATATTATCGCCCATGGGCGCTTGTCGAGTGGGCGGTTATTTGGTAATTATCCGTTTAACCCCCTGAACAGGGTTTTCAGTAGATCCCGGTAGTTTTCAAAAAGAGCCTTCACACTTTAACTTCTAAAGTCAATTCTATTTAAATGATGAGCGCATAAATGGGTGCGAAAATCGCATGGCCTTGTGGCAGATTACAGATAAGCCTCACTGAGAAAATCACCTCAACAATAGTGAAAATGCGGAACGCATAGGGTGGATTTCGTTTATTGCAAGCAATATCATTTTCTTCAAGATAATGCGATTTGTGAAAACCCCGATTATAATTGTAACAGATAAGGTAGATATCAAATTTTTGAGAGAACCGTTTTTTTCTCATTTAAAAACGACTACTTTTCCTTTAGCCCATAAATTTCAAAGAGCGCTCATCTCAAATCATATTATTTCACATCTAAACACTTTCAAAAATCTTTGGTGAACATAACAGGCAACAACCAGATTCTAATTTTGAATTTTGAAAAAATATAATGTTAATGACGTTCGAAAATTATACTTGAAGCTCATACAGTCGAAGGCATGTGAGAATTCGAGCTATTTCAATCCCGGTGAATTTTAAAATTGCAGGGCACACTTATCTCAAACAATTAATAAACTTCAGTAGGGCATTTCATTTAAAAAAACTTAGAAAAATCGATATCAAAAACCAATAAAGTAGTATTAAACATGGGTCAGGCATATTACACTAGCTAAAACAGTTCTTCAATTTACTAACCTCATGCTAAAATTCAACTTCGGTTTGCTTTACGAATACCTAAATCTCGTGAAAGAAATCTTATGGCTCTCTCAATAACCAAATTAAGGTACGTTTAAGATAGAAATAAAACCGGTAGGAATCCCGAATATGACTCTGACAACTGACAATTACAACTGTCTTATTGAATTTAAGCCTAGTAACTAAATTCCTATAAACTTATTTTATTTTTATGTCATTGGATGTGCTAGAGAACAAAGGTTTTACTTATTTATCAATGTAAGAAATATTATCTTTGCGTCAAATTCGCTATTAGGACTTTTGTAATAGAATCGATTCGCACAACAAATAATCAATTAAAATTTAATTTCCAGTGGGCAGTTCGAAATTTTCTTCAACATCCATTA